CTATCTACAGCGTGTCTGAACGAACGATCCGCCGCTGACGCGCTAGTGTCCCTGCGCGACGCGATTGCCAGCCTAACTTAAAGAAGCTAACTCAGCTAGAAGAGGAGGTGATTGTTAGCTATATACTTAATCTAGATCAGCGTGGATTCGCGCCTACATACGCAGCCGTGCGCGATATAGCTAATAAGCTGCTGGCTACGCGCAGTGGAGAACGCGTTAGAGTCAACTAGCCGTCTACCTTTATTAAGCGTACGATAGGCAGAGAGCTCTATATAAAGATTCAGTCCTAATTAAGAGCTAGTTTAAGCTTATAGAGCAGATAAAAGCTAAGTATAGTATCTGTAACGAAGACGTCTATAACTTTAACAAAGCTGGCTTTATAATAGGTAAGATTACAACTTAGCTTATTATTACAGCGTTAGAGAGAAGAACACAGCTAAAAGCTATTTAGCTAGGTGGTCGTAAGTGGGTAATATTTATCGCTGGGATTAACGCGACTAGCTGAGCTATCCTACCATTTCTTATCTTTACTAGTAAGCACCACCTATCTACCTAGTATGAGAAGGCAGAGGTCCCGCGCGACTAAGTGATTGTAGTCAGCGACAATAGCTGGACAAATAATAAGCTAGGCGTTATATAGATAAAGCATTTCGACGCTTATACGAAGACTCGCGTTATTAGTACACGTCGTCTACTTATCCTTAACAGCTATAAGAGCCACCAGTCTCTTTAGTTCTAAGAGTTCTATTAGAAGAATAATATATATACTCTCTATATACCGCCTCACTCGTCTCACCTACTCTAGCCTCTTAACGTTAGCTACTTCTCGCTATTAAAGCGCGCGTACAGCCGCGAGGTAGAGAGCCTAATCCGCCATCTGTAACGATGTTACAACTTCGCCATGTATCGGACCAATCCCAGAGCCGGATCGGAGGTAGTACTCGCCGCCCTCTTCATCAACCACTCGTTGTGAGGTCGGATCCGATTCGGATCCGACTAAGATAAGTATATAAGGAGACACTCCCTGTAGCTAGCTCTGTAGACTTTTGATATCCTTTCGTACAAGGCCTATAGGTGTCTATTCGAATCAAGGCTCGTTTGATGTCCCACGCACTCCCATATGCCTCTGAGTGACACTACCGCCGATACTGATCCGAGTAGTCTTGCCTGCGCCGTTACACCATCACATTAACTACATTACTAAGCTTAAGTTTCTACCAACGTTTAAGATAGCCTTTAATCAATCCTTCACGCCAGCTAATATCTGCTCAGCTTTTCGAGGCGCAGGCCTTATCCCTCTCTAGCTAAACGCTATTCTATTAAAGCTTAACATGCAGCTACGTACGCCTAGTTCTCCAGCTGCTCTTATAGAGGCTCTCTAGCAAGCTCGTACACTAAGTAACGTACGTAAGCTAGAGGCTTAATTAACGTTAATAAGCGAGCGCGTTCGAAAGCACTAGAGCTTATTGTTACAAGTAACAAGAAGGATTCTTTCCTTGACAAATGACGAGATGGCTGCGAGCCTAGGGACGTCCACGTCAAAAGGTAATGGACATTGCGGGGCTCGGAGTCACGTGATGTGCCATCCCGCCAAGGCTGGCCATCCGGGATGGCAGTGCATAAAGGGATGGCAGCGCCATCCCAGACCTCCCGCCAAGATGGGATGGACGGGATGGCAGGACTGGAAGCAATGAGGATATAAGGATGGATGGATTTCATTATTACTCTCGTTGTGGTCAACTCAAATTGTACTTTCTTACTAGTATCTTTACTTAACAAGATTGTCACAAGTTAGTCTATCAAATAGATTAGTCTTGTCAAACCCTCCTTAAGCACGCCAACTCCACTGCATCGCCAGACAAGCCTCACGGAACACTAACGTAATACTCACCTGCCTTAGTGCGGACCAGGATAGAGAAGTATAGACCTATACCCCGTGTAACACTTATCACTAGCTTTAATTATTGCGGTAAT